GAGGGCGGCCCAGTCCGCGCCAGCCCCACTGGGGTTTCTGGCCTCGCTCCCCGTGCACCCTGGGGCACTTCCGCTTCCCGTCTGCGCTCCTCCGAGGACTTGGACTCGGCTCTCAGTGGTCTCTGCGCTACAGTCCCTGAAGAGGACAGTGGAGGGGCCAGGGTTGGCTGATCACTTCCCTTGGGCCATGCCCCTGGGCATTACGTCCATCTAGCATCTGCCCATCTCCCAGGGGCCCTTGGGAACCCTGTGGGGTGCTAGCCTCAAGTGGCGGGGCCAGGGTCACCTGGTAAAGCACCAGCTTGCATACACTGGGAGGGCAAGGGCCGGCAAATGCAGGTGTTTGAGACAGACACGGGGGATGGGTGCAGCTGGGAGGGGGACAAGGGGGCCGGAAGTGCAAGAAGAAAAGATCCGGGTGTGAGGGGCGCAGGACATGGAAGCCAGCCTCCAGAGTGGACACTGGGTTGCCACTTTGTGACAGGTGGTGATCCAAGGTGGATCCAGGCTGGAATCTCAGGGCTGTGTTGACAATGATGAGCTCCTCCAGGAAAATCCAGGAGGAGGAAGAAACCTCCAAGGAAGGTAACAAGGAGAAACCGCCATCCTGCCGGTCACTGCCCTGCTCTCCCAGCCTTGGCTACACCAGGTGGGCTTTGAGCTGGACCTTTCCTTACAAGACTCCCCAGGCTCCTGGCTGGTCCTCAGGGGACCCTGGGCCTGGGTGGCACAGCCTGGCCCTCAGCATGGAGTCCCGTGCTGGCCTGCACTCCCAGGACAAGGCAGCCTGTTTCTGCCTGACCCAGCTGACGAGGCAGGGTGGTGGTTGAATGCTCTTCAGTGGGCTCCTGCCCTGCAACAGAGGCAGGGAGGCCCCCAGGGACCCTGAGCTGCAGGACCTGGTGCCTGAGGGATCCCTTTGTTGGGGCCTTGGCCAGGCAGGTCCAGGCCCGGGCTCCTGGATGTAGTGAGGTGAGGGGTTTCTTGAAAGGTACAGCTGCATCCTCACACCCAGTCCCTGTGAAAGGGTCCTTATAGGCAGGGGTTGTAGCTGAGAGAAGGCTATGGAGAAGACGCCTGACCTTGTCCGGGTGGCCCGAGCCCCAAGGACCGGCCTCCCCTAGGGACAGAAGAAACACATGCAGAGGGAAAAGCTCCAAGAAGGGAGGTCCCTACCAAGGGAGCGGAGCCCCCGCAGCTGCTAGGAGAGGCCAGGAAGGTCCCGGTGCTCGCACCTTGGTGTCACACTCTGGCCTACAAGCGATGTGGCGGCAGAGCCCTGCTGCTCTTAGAAGCACTGGGGCTGCTTGCTGAGAACCAAGCCCTATCAGGCCGGTCTGAGGTGGGTACTGCACCTTCATGGGGGGTGGGGGTGGGGCTCGGCAAGGCCACTTCTGTGGGCCTGGCACTGGGTGCTCCCTGTCTGCACCCACTGTGGGGGAGTGGGGCCCTGTGTGTGCCACGGTCTGCTGCCGCTTGGGGTGACCCTATGGCTCTGAGGTGGCCAGTCTGCAGTGCCTATCAGCACCTGTCACAACTGAAGCCAAACCAAGGGGACATGGACAAAGTCACAGCTCTATAGAGTGAATAGGCTCTTTCTAGAAGCTGTTCAGTGTTTGAGCAGGGAGAATTTCAGACCTGGGTCTACCTTTGAGGAGTGCCCAGGACTCACTGTCACCTCCTACCATGACCCTGGTGTGCCCACCTCACCTCATCTCTCTTGTGGGCCTCCTGCCAAGGCCCGGGATCTTCTCTGAGAGAGATGCCTCACCTCATAGGCAAGGCAGGACAGATCATTTGTAAAAAGGAAGAGGACCAAGAGACAGAGGGAGAGAGGGAGGGGAGGGAAAGGAGACATAAAAAGAATGAAGATGTGTCGTGTGATTGTACTGATTCCTCATTGAATGTAATTGCTATGGACTGCAATCTTGGACTAATAAAAATGAAATTTAAAGAGATAAATGCCCAGCTTGAATCTTCTTCATATAGACAGTTTTCCCAGCACCATTTGTTTTTTTTTTAATTTTTTTCAGCTTTAATTGAGTTTATTGGTACATTTTAGGGATACAGTACAGTTACATTCATTGTTGGGATCTTGTACCTCTACATGACAAGTCTTGATTCTCATTTTTTCCCCTTACCTCTGCCCTCCCTTCACCCCCTCCTCCCCTCCCATCTACAAACACTTTATTTTCATCTTTTCATTCTCTCACATTTTTTTTCTTTTCCCTTTTTACTCTTCCCCTACCCATCCCACCTTCCCTACACCTTTAGCTCCTTTCTTCCCATTTCTAAATGTCAGTAATCTTATTAGGATCTTATGCCCAGCACCATTTGTTAAATAGATGTTCTTTCTTCCAGCATATGTTTTTAATCCCTCTGTCAAAGGTCAGATAGCTGAATATGTCTGAGAATGTTTCTGTATCATCTAATCTGTTCCACTGATCCATATGTGTTATGGTTTATGTCTAGATGTCCCCCCAAAGCCTCACGCATGTGCTCACAAGTGGGGCTTTTGGGAGGTGCCTGGATCATAGGTGTGTGATACTGGATTAGTCCACTGATGGGTTTATATCTGAGCCATGATGGGAGGTGAAGCCTACTGGGAAGAGGTGGTCACTGGGAGTGTGGCCTGGAAGGGTCTAGATCCCTCCTCCTTTGCTGGCTGCTGTTTCCTGCTCACCTTGCCCCTCTGTCATGGTGCTCTGCCTTGGAACCAGCCAACACCTCTACAAACCGACACCTCTATAGACCGACATCTTTACAAACTATGAGCCAAACTAGACTTCTTTAAATGGTGGGTGTCAGGTCTGTGTCTCAGCGAGGAGAAAGTAACTAAGACAGCAAGTCTATGTTTGTGCCAGTAGCATACTGTTTTTATCACTGTAGCTTTGTAGTATAATTTACAGTCTAGGAACGTGAAGCTCCCTGCCTTGCCCAGGATGCCTTTTACTATTCTGGGTGTCTTTTGGTTCCATACAATTTTTGGATTGCTTTTTCTAGTTCTGTGAGGAATGCTGTTGGTATTTTGATTGTGAGTGTATTGAATTTATATAACAGTTTTGAGTGTATGGCCATTTTGACAATACTGGTTCTGCCTATCTAGGAACAGGGGATGTCTTTCCATTTTCTGTTCTCTTCAATCTCCTTTTTCAGAGTACTATAGTTTGACTTAGCTGTGGTGAGAAAGGAACCCTCCTACATTGTTGGTGGAAATGTAGACTAGTACATCCATTATGGAAATCAGTGTGGAGATTCCTCAAAGAACTAAAATTAGAAATTCCATTTGACCCAGCTGTTCCCCTTCTAAGGTATCTTCCCCAAAGAGCTAAAGACATCATATTAGAGTGATACATGCATACCCATGTTTATAGCAGCACAATTCATAATGACTAAATTCTAGAAGCAGCTTGAATGACCATGAACAAATGAATGGATACAAAAAGTGGTATCTGTACACAATGTAATACTACTTGGCTATAAAGAAGGATAAATTTGAGACATCTGTAGGAAAATGGATGCACCTGAAGAATATAGTATTAAGTGAAACAAATCAGATACACAAGCCTAAAGACCATGTGGGATCTCTCATTTGAGTAGGGCAAAGTATAAACAAAGAGCGAAACAAAGGAAGGAAACAGGGAGATAAGTCTTTTGCTCTTTGTCTAGGAGTTTTTAAGGGGTTTAGAAAGGAGCTTGGGCTTTTGTGTAAGCAATAGAATCTCTGCCCTAGAGGAGACTACGTACTTGTCAGGTCCAACTTATGCACTGTTCACCTGGTGTCCATGCATGGCCCATGTGCCTGGGAGCCAGTTGTCCCCTGAGCATGCTGGAGGGTGGTGGGGGTGTCCCCCACAGCTAAGGACAGTGGAAGATGTTTTTGTGAGGTCCCTGGAGGTTGGGATTCTGCAGAATCCTTTTGAGGCTGCTGTCTTCACTGCCTAATAGAATCCTAACCCTGATTTACTAGTTTCCGTTGCATCCCCCCCTTGAAGAGGTGACACTACCTTCCTATCAGGGAAGAAGAACAGTGAATAATCTGGCTCTTCAAGCAGCACAGGGTCGATGAGAATGGGTCAGCAGTCAGGAGCACCCTCCAGCGGCTTGTCCAGTGGCCCATGACAGATGGCAGGTGGGAGCCCTGTGGCGGGCCCTAGCTACAAGACCATCTGAAGTCTCACCGAGTGCAGGACAGGGCCATAATTCATGTGTCCCAGTGCCAGGCAGCTCTGATTTGAATTTGATTGTTCCAGCTTGAACCACCAGAGAAAACGGCATGACTATTGGAAAAAATGGGTGTCACGGTGGCCACAAAAAAGCCAAATGCATAATGACATTCTGTACACTCTGCCCAAATCAGCTGCCTTCATGTAAATGATATTTTAAAGAAATTCACAAGTATACATACGTTTCTTTGAATTTAATGAAATAAATTTGTTGAGTATTGTGATAATTTTAAAATTGGTATGAATAGTATTAATTTTTATATTAGGGTTGTAATTATTCAAATTCAGGCAACTAATTAGATT